GCACGTGGTAACCACAGTAACCAGTCAAATAATGTATTATGACAAACACTTTTTTATTAAATAAACACTTTATTAACGTTAACGGATAATTTTGAGTTATTTGTTTATGTTAACCACAATGTATCACTTCAATGTTTATCCAAAGTTCATTAAGGTACCCGAGTGCAAGGGAATTCCCTCGCAGTGTAAAGGTATTCCCCGACATTCCTCAGGTCCGAAAGTAGTCCGGTTCGGTGGGCGTGGCTTATTTTTTTAGATTCATTGGGAAATGAAATCAAAAGAAATGTTCCCAGTTAACCAATCAGATTGCCAGAATTTTAATGAACACAATAAAAATTTAATTATATGGGTTTGTTTGTTACTATCAAAATTATATATATTCAGAGACTAACCATGAGTCTAGGTATTACCAGTATACCGGTATATCGCAATACGCTTTTCAAACGATACGTATTACAATATTTTTTCTGAGAACCAGTATCTTGGGTAAAGAACATATATGATGTTTTGTGATTATCGTTTTGGTTTAGATTAAAATCTACACATACATTCATTCACAACAGATGTTTTCCTTGGCTATTGAATGACAAAACTGCATATTTTAATGCAACAAATTGTGTAAAGAGGAAAATAGAATTTATGATTGCAACCTAATTTTGAGATTGCTGTTATCAGAGCCATAACATATATAGAGATTACTTAACGAGTGTCTGTCAGATACCATTTATCTGACAACGAGTTGTAAGATAAATGGTATCTGACAGACACGAGTACAGCAATCTATATCTTACACACCGAAAATCACACCACTTTTGGATCAAATCGATGCATATTTTGCCCTTTCTCTGATTGTAGCAGCGCATTAATACATAACACAACATCATGAATGAGTGACGTCACTCAGCAGACTACTTACTACACATGCATTGTGTAACCCTCACACAAGAGTATCAGTCATATTTGTGCATTTTTAAGGCAACAACGATGATGTAAACAGATAAGATCAAAGAACTAATATTAAACACTCAAAAAACATGACTTTGCAACTGTATATGGTTCTTTGTCAAGTGAAATTAATTTCACAGTGTGACGTCATTATTATCGTTCCGAACATGTGCTAGGTGACGCTCATTCAATTTGAATACAGTCATCATCGGAGGATCGCTTGGATTTCTTCGCACGTGTGGGACTTGCACTTCCCTAAAAGTTAATGTTGAATGTACCCCCATACACCGGAGCTGCAAATATTGAGGAGAGTTTGTCATTAAACGTAACCTTTGTGCTGGACTGGGACATTGCGGAGGTTACGTTCACAGTTGAAGGAAGGGAAGCTACTCTTCGTTGACACAGCCTGCTTGCGTTCTCGGCTCTCGACACTGCCACTAAGGATGTGACTTATGTTTCGGTGTTGCGAGGATGAAATTTGACTATAGTTGTTTACACTCTGCATGTTACGATGACCTGATATCTGCATAATGTGAGTTGGAGGAATATTTTCATCAGACAGTTTTTGGACAAGGAATTTTCTTGCTGAATGGTTTGTGAAGTTCCTGTTTTCAAAGCCAGCATGTTTTGACATTCGTCTCATAATAGAACTCAGTTTATTCATACCAACAGGTTGTCGTTTGAACCAGGGGAATTTGCTAGGTGGTTCCTTGGTGTTAGTGGCAATATAGAAAGGAGTATCTGGACTGGAGTACCCTGCAGGACGGAGGCTCGAGTACAGCTTGTACATGGATACTGGACAATGTTCATCATTAGTCGCCCAAGCTTTGGGGTGCATGTTACGGATAGCTAAAGGATTATCCCCTTGGCATGTTTTCGACTGTCTCTCTCTGAATTCAAGAAATTCTCTACCATCTGAGTCAGTTTTAAGTGCAACATGCCCCCCATTTCATGTCAGTGTGTGGTTTGACACAACGGATTCCAAAATGAGTGGTGTTGTTCCGCCACATGGTGTTCAAAATGGATTCGGGATCGTGAGGACCAAGTTGTTTTGTTTCATAGAGTTTGTGAATGTGATCGTCAGTGAGCGATTCAGCACGGCGAGGTAGGTTACCCATTCCTTCACTCTTCAGGACTTTTGATGACAGTGTTTAACTTTTCGAATTCACGATCATTGATAAGTGATGAACAGTAGTGCTTTGACTTAAGGTACCTGTCAAAACTGGACAACATCCCGCGAACTGTAGATGGTTCATAATTGCTGCCATCTTTCTTTCTGAGGTTAATAAAAAGTGTACACAAATTGTCACAAAGTTCTGTTGGTTGAATGGACTCGATAGGACTTGTGTCGCCATTTGCAATCATGAACCCTTGCAAACGCCTCATGTTGTACATTGTTTTAAGTTGTGTCTTTCGGTTCTGATTGTCATGAACGAATTTGTCAATTTGAAAATGATCATATAGTTGTTCAGGGTTTGGGGATCGATCCGTATCGTTACAACCGCCAGGTTCATTTGAAACGTGGCAAGGTAGTTAATGCTGGATCGGTCAAGTTGCAGGAATGGGGGTGGGTGGGGGTCGGGGGTGTTGAGTTATTGAGCATTTTGTGGTAGATCGGGCCTACACCTATCTTGGAATGCAAGCTCCAGACAAGCTCCAGAATGTCCAAATCCAAGACAAACTTCGGGCCGAGTGCATATCTCGCTTAAAGAAAATCTGGAGCTCAGGAGCTGAATGCTCAAAACAAGGTGAATGCCACCAATTCTTTTGTTGTGCCAGTCCTCTCCTATTCCTTTGGAGTAGTTGACTGGACAAAACAACACATCCAGAGTCTTGACCGCCTGACCAGAAGGATCATGTCTGATAACAGAGCCCACCACCATCGTTGCTCTCTTAATCGTTTTTATATGCCAATCAGTTCGGGAGGTTTGATTAATGTTGAAGCTCTTTATGATAGAATTTTATTGTGTATTTTTGCACATATTTATTTTTCGGATGATCCTTTGGTGATGCATGCCAAGACTCATGGTGAAAACAAGGAATTCCACAGCTATTTTAAGGACATAATCTGAAATTTGATGTTGAATTTGTTGCTGACGATGTATTGCTGGACGGTACAGCGATAGGAGTAAACCAGGTGAAGTCCTTGACCACCTCTGCCCAGAGTCATTCATTTGTGGAAACGTTTTCTGAGAAGCCATTGCATCGCCTGTACAGGCAGTGAGTGGAGCAGAACTACAATTCCACCGACTCCTTCGCCTGGATGAAGTCGGCTGGTCTTAAATGTGAAACAGAGGGCTTTCTTTTTGCTGCCCAAGACCAGTCACTTCCCACTCGCAATCGCCTATATGTGATTCGTAAAGAAAATATCAATATGAAATGTCGATTGTATAATGAATTTACAGAGACTGTCCAACACCTTGTCAGTGGATGTCCTTCCTTGGCACAAACAGCATATCTTAAACAACATGATGGCATGGCTTGCTGCACCTGGTACGACCCTGACCATGCTCAAGGCGCAGAGACATAATTACCCCGGATAAGCCAAACTGCCTGTATGGCACTAGAAGGTGAACAGTTATATGACTTATCCGACCGGGTACCCATTCACTGCTGGGTGAACAGAGGCAATTATGAACAAACTCACTTGCCTAAGGTTAGACCACATGTGTCACGTGTGCTTTGTTGTGGGACAGGACTGAAGTCATAGAAGCTCACAGGAGTCAAGCTGCTGAAAACGGTCACCCATCCAAGGACTGTCCGTGACCAACGTTGCTTAACATCACCTGATTTGTGACCTGAGCTCTATGCACAAGACCACATACCATATTACTTGTTGATAATGTCAGAAGAACACAAGCTGACCGACCGGTATATCCCCGGCATCGTTACAAATAACCCAGAAGATTATTAAAGTAATACTAGTGAGTGAGTGAGTTAAGTTTTACGTCGTCTCCAGCAATATTCCAGCAATATCACGACAGGGGACACCACATTGAAAAAATGTGGGGAATCGAACCCGGGTCTTCGGCGTGACGAACGAACGCTTTAACTACGAGGCTACCCACACTCCTCATCATGAGCAGTCTGATTGTTGTCATCTTTCACACACGTAGTTCATCACGTTGATGGTTTGTCTGGTCCAGATTTGACAGGCCGCGGGTATATGGCTAAAATATTGCTGAGTGTAGCAATAGGACGACACTAGAGTAGAGAATGGCAAACTGTCAACAAAATGTAGACCATGTGCGTTAACATTATTTATTCAAAGTGTGTAAAGGAATTGCTTAATAATATCAAAAATGTGTACTTTTATTCAAAAGAACCGAAAAACAAAGACATATGGATGAAACTTGGCATAGGTAGTAGTAGTCGTCGTAGTTGTTGTTGTTGTTGTTGCAGTAGTTGTAGTAATCATCCTCTAGTAGTAGTAGTAGTAGTAGTAGTAGTAGTAGTAGTAGTAGTAGTAGTAGCTGTAGTAGTAATAAACAATGTTAAACTCTGTGCGCTTCACACATTGCAACCATATTGGACTCGAAACCCGCATCGCGAAGCAAGAGATATCGACGCCTTAACCTCCAGGTTACCTCACCGGTAGCACAGTAAGAAGGATATATCAGAATAGATGTAAATAGTACTATAAATGTTCAGAAATGACATCTAAGATTCCCTGTTTACTATTTTTGCTAAACAATTATCATCGTTAATTAAAACCTTGATTATGCCGTCTTGAGTACAATCACCAAAATACACGCATCATCTAAGACATTGATTTGCTAATATTTATAGTACATTTCAAATATACGATCATGCATTTCTGAAGCTTCTGGTTTTTTCTCAAATCCAAGCGTTTAATAATTGTCCAATATCAGAAATATCTTGAATACTTGGGCCCGGGTTTTCGGGGTATTTTCATTAACACTGCCATACATCGAGAATAGTACTACATCTGACTTTAAATGCAAGCCAACATTTTAGAAAAAACTTAATCATGGAAAAGCCAAAACTTTGTCGAGGTCACAGGTTTGGAAAGAATTAAAACCTCAACGTGTCTTCTGAATCTAAGCCATGATCACCGCGAGGAAGATCAACGTCAGGGAGGCCACATGGGTTCCTGCGCCACCGGATTGGGGATAGTTAAAGTCATTCTTATTCACATCGCACATTGCCAGCTTGCCGAGGAACTCCAGCCCTTCTTTGGATCTACGCATGAGATTTCTGACATAGTCTGAGACATCGCCTCCACTTAAGCAAGGGTGTTTCAGGATGTCCATGACCGCCATCTTGCATTCGGGGGTGCACAAATCGGACAGGAGATTACAGTAGACGTTCACGGACTTGAAGAGCGCCTTAGACTCAGCATCGACTTGAAATACAAATTCCCAGACGTTGCAGTTCTTCTCAATGAGGCTCTCACGCCCACAAATATTGATGCTCTTCCACGACACACATCCCCCATTCTTCAGAGCATGTTCTGGGTAGTACCAAAGGAACCCAAAGCACATTTCATCTGATGTTCCATCGCCGTAGAATACCCAGTTCTTCTTATACGTTGATTCGAATTTGCAGGTGGTCACTAAGCTGTCTCCAGGAAGAAGCTCAACTGGATCGTCATAGCTGTAGCGATAAAAAGTATGAGGTAAGAAAATACATGTGTATGTAGCAATTCAGAATTTCAGTAAATATGCTGGTCGTTACAACCCAATTGTGTTACGGCTGACGATGACTATTCTATATTGTTTTACCCAAGCAATTGTTCAAGTATATGACAGTGGTCTGTAAATAATCGAGTCCTTACCAGAAAATCAAGTCATCGATTTTATGAGTAACGATCATGTGATACAATGATGTCAGCAGTCACCGAATCCAACAATCAAAACCTTTTAATTATCTCCCAAGACATTGGTTCATGTGAAACAGTTCAATTCCTGATTCTCAAAGCTAATAAGGTCTCACTTGAAGTAGAGAGGCTGGTCATAGCTGTACTCTGGTTCATTGGTCAGATAGCGGACCCTTTGTCCATTTCGCCTCAGCTCTACGGACGCTGATCTACCTTTAAAGATAAAACATTTACCATTTACTAATGATGCCAGTCTGGAAGCAGCAACAATAACAATGTTAGAATAGTCAAAAGGGAAAGTTTACTTCTTATTTTACGGTACATTTTATATGCGTTCTATGTAGTTGTGCTTTATACTTACTTACTTATGTCCTTCCTTCCTTTCTTCCTTCCTTCCTTACTTATCATTCAATCAATCAATCAATCAATCATTCATATATTCATTCATTCATTTAAATTTAGTTATTTGCCTAATAGAGCGTTCAGTTCATTAACTCACAAGTGATAGGCACATCTGATGTTTCTGTGCATGTTGATTGTCTTGCTAGACAGTGTACTTAGCTGCGGATAATCTGGCCTCACCAGTTCTGTCCCTCACTCTGACAGCGTGAGTTCGAATCCCGGGTGAGACTCAAAGCAAAATTTACTAGATTCTGTGCTTTACGGAGAAAGTGTAATCCCAAATATAACATTAGTCACGTCCTACTCTCCAAATGAGAATGTGTGGATTCATGACTCTATATGATTTTAATTTCACTTTAATAAAGGGACTGTTCATTTGCATGTTGTCGTGCCCTTCCTTATGAGACCGTCGCAAACGTTCACCGGACAGCTCCAGATTTATTTTGAGTTCATGATCGAAAGAACAAATTCATACGCATCCTTCACATTTCCTTTAATGTTTCAGTTGTGTTTTACCAGAAAATCTCATCGATATTACATATCTGCCTGAAAGCATGAACCCCTTTAATAATTCAGGGCCCGTGCATTGAAACTTTGTACAGGTATTTTACATGACAGTGCGTGACGTACTTGTCGCTTGAGATGCGGGTTGTAATTACATTCTGAAAGATTTTCCTGATTTAAGCTGTCCGATTAGGCTTAATGCAGCGATGTCATAATTTAGCACATTAATCCAGAGGGGCTAAGTGGGTTTGGTTTGTTGTTTTACGCCGAACGCAGCAATATTCCAGCTATATGGCGGCGGACTGTAAATAATCGAGTTTAGACCCGACAATCCAGTGATCAACAGCCTGAGTATCGATGTACGCACTTACGTTGACATCTGAGGTAACAGCGGATATTCTGACTTCACCAGTTCTGTGCTTCACTCTGACAGTGACAGTTCGAATCCCTGGTGGGACACAACCCCCAAAAGTACTGGAATCTGTTCTTTATGGAGAAAGTGTAATCCCCAATATAACATATGTCACGTTTGACTCTCACGTTTGAAACCAAACTGACTCTGTCATAATCTGGCACATTACTCTTGAGGGCTAGGTTGGTTTGGTTTGGTTTGGTTTGTTGTTTAACGCCGCACTCAGCAATATTCCAGCTATATGGCGGCGCTCTGTAAATAATCGAGTCTTGACCAGACAATCCAGTTGACATCAGCATGAGCATCGATCTCCGCAATTCGGATACGATAACATGTTTCAACCGCTGTGTGCGGTGTTAAACAACCAACAAACCAAGCATTCAGATGTACATTACTTACCTAAATAATGCATATGATTCAAGGCTGTTGGGACATAGATGGGCTCTGTCATAAGTTTTCGTGTGCATTCAGATGTACATTCTCCTCTGAACGTGACCTCTGATTGTCCAGGGGGGATTGCTAGGTTCATCTGTCCGAGTGACATGAGTGAGCCATTATTCTTTCGTAAGTTGGGGGTGTAAAAGAACGTCATTCCTGAACTGTCCTTCCAGCCTGACACTTCGTTCGGGTTGTTCCAGTGAAACTGAAAAAGAATGGAAATGAAAATAATACACGGTGAGTGAGTGAGTGAGTGAGTGAGTGAGTGAGTGAGTGAGTGAGTGAGTGAGTGAGTGAGTGAGTGAGTGAGTGAGTGAGTGAGTGAGTGAGTGAGTGAGTGAGTGAGTGAGTGAGTGAGTGAGTGAGTGAGTGAGTGAGTGAGTGAGTGAGTGAGTTTTTATTCAACTTTTAGCACGGTGGGGGACACCTGAAGTGAGCTTCACACATTGTACCCATGTGGGGTTCGAACCCGGGTCTTCGGCCTGACGAGAGAATGCTTTAACCACTAGGATACTCCACCACCCGGAAACTGAAGAAGGGTGGACATAACAATAATACCAAGGTGGGGTGGGGGTTGGGGAGTGTTGTTGCTAAAATTGGAAAGAAAAATATGATGTGATGGGTTTGTATCGGTACTCGCGTTGGAATACTTGTTGGCAATTGTGATGTAATAGACTGGTATCCGTGTATCTTGGCAAGGTTGGAAAAAACTCGTTATGTAATGGACTGGTATCCGTGTATCTTGGCAAGGTTGGAAAGAACTCGTTATGTAATGTACTGGTATCCGTGTATCTTGGCAAGGTTGGAAAGAAATTGTGATGTGATGGGATGGTACCACTTTCTAGCAGATATATTATTACGACAGCGTAGCTAGCTCGACATTAGATAAGTATTTCTTTATTATTACAATCTTCATAAAAATACAATGAAACGCCATTAACTTGGACCTCCGTTTAAGGAAAATTAGTATGTTCTATATGCCACTGCGAGTGTGAAAGGTGGATCCACGACGAGTTTGATTCATTCAAAAATACACACAAAGGTCGTACTGCAGCCTGTATGAACTGCTTATTTATCGGGCACAGAATGCGCTGTGTGCAGCCTTAAACAAGTAACAAAGAATATTTATGAATATATGAACATATATATATATGAATATATATGAAAGAAATTTGGTCACTAGTACCTCCAGGGCAAACCGTTTGTATCTTGATTTTCCAAAAAACTAGTCCAAAGTTGTCATTGAGGCATTCTCCAGGAGACCCAACTGTCCAGCCCCCCTAGACCTGCTGTGCATCCCTTCCCAGCATCCATGCCACATTTGTATGGTTCTGTTGGTAGTTCCTCTGCAAAGAAAATAGAGATATACAGCTCACCATTTTTAAGGAATTCTAGGAAGGTCATATTTCTGTACCTTTGCTGTTTCACTCAAAGCCACACTCACCATCAGGACCCAATGGTTGATGTTATGAGCAACGATGAAACATAGGAGAACGATGAAACAATATAACGACGTTACCGACGCTGACCATCCGATCTATTATGTCGCCGGTTACGGCCATTATGCTTAATAACCTGAATTCCCAGACATTGCAAATCATAAAGAAAATGTTCCTATGATATAATCATCACTGCACTGAATACACTGGATTTGGTTTCAGTTGAAAGACTGGTTCGACGCACCTGATGTGTCAGAGCAGCCGTAGACTATGACGTGATGCATGACGTTTTCGTTGTCGATGAGAGGCTTGCTTCCAATGTAGTGGTAGTCCTGGTCAGAGGGGACGTTGAAAATCATGCAGATGTAGGTGGTGTCCTCGGCGGGCACGTCGGTTTCGGGGAAACGGATCGTGAAGTTCCTCACATCTGTGAAGGTGAGATAACGACTTAAGAACGACACTATGTGCATTATTTGGGTAGGTATTAGAGTGAGTGAGCTTCATCATATCTTTGAAGGCTGAATGAATGAATGAATGAATGAATGAATGAATGAATGAATGAATGAGCATATTACCTTGCGGGTCCAGATATACAACATAACCTTTCGTTTCACTCTTAAATCATGACAACGTGTCAACGATGAAAGCATTGCACATACATTCAGGAATGCAACTAAAACGTTTTACCTGGTGCGTTGAGAGCATCGCACTCTAGTTCTGACCCTTTACACGAAACCCACGCATTCTTCGCTTGACAGGCAGGGGAGTCAAAAGGGTCACACACACCTGGAATATATAGAAGGTCGTTCTCCATAAACCGAACTGGTATTGTATGAACGTGTGCACATGCACATATGATGAGTTCTATTTTGGGGTGGTATAGATTCCGTACATCGACGCTCAATCAAACTTTCATCAAATGGCTTGAAGTGAGTTATTCAGTCCTCAGCTGATAGTAATGTAGATTTGATGATCATAGTAACTTAGAGCGATTTCAATAGTTGTATTTATCATTGTGCGAACATGAGATTTGCAGCGACGATAAGCGGATCCTGGTGCATCTAAGGGACGAAATATATATTCTTAAAGACCACAGGATAGTTCCTTGCGTGATCAGGACTATTGAATCCTAGAAGGGACATTGTTGCGTTGTCGCCCTGACAAAAACAAACAAAAAGTGGCAAAATTTGCGACAATACAACCACGCGACTAGCCATTTGTCCCTGTTTGAAGAATATTTTCAATTCAACCATAGGGCGACTATGCGACATAATGACAGGTTACAAATATGTCGCATTGTCGATTCGTCGCCCTAACTAAGTTGTGTAAAATAACATCTGCGACAACTCGACAATGCGACAACGGGATAATGTCCCTTCTAGGATTCCATACAGGACTGTTTCATTTACGCAATATCACGGTCACCAATTTGAACCACTGATTGGGTACCACTGATTGGGTTACACTGATTGATCCACTTAGCCTTGACACATTTCCTCATTTCCAAAACAAGCAACTGCATATCAATACGGATGAAATCAATGTGATTTCTATTGTATACCTGGGTGAGTAATGTCGGTTGTCCGTGAAGGGAGATTACCACTGTCTGCAGTCCACACGCAGTTCGGGTCACCAAGCTCTTGACCGTTGGTCATACCGTCACCATCAGAATCTAAACGGCACAAATCTTGTGTCCACTTAAACAGAATAAAAAACATTGTGAACAAACAGAAACAGAAACATAACCTGCATATCATCTGTGTGTACAGACCCCCACCGTCAGCTAAAAATAAACTTTCAGCCTCCAAATTTCAAGATGACTTTGAAAATTTTGTTCAACTTCAGAGCAGCAAAACAGGTGAAATTACCATTCTCGGTGACATGAATATCCATTTCGATGACCCATTAAAACCTGACAGAGAAAAAATTGTCACATTCCTGGACTCAATTGGACTTGTCCAAATTGTGCCAGCGCCAACCCACAAATGTGGACATATTCTAGACTGGGTAATCGTCAGAGACACAAACAAAGAACTTATTCAAAAAGTGACTGTTGAAGACCTACAAATGTCAGACCACTTCCCTGTGTTTCTCTCTTTCAACAAGGAAAGACCAACAAGACAGAAAATAACGAAAACATGTCGAAACTTTCGCAATATGGACATTGACAAGCTTAAAACAGATATTGGGAACTCTCCTCTCTACAAGGTGAAACCGAAGACTGCCACAGAACTTGCAGATCTATACAACAGAGTTCTATCAGAGCTTCTAGACAAACACGCCCCTCTTAGAACCAAGATTATATCTGTGAAACCAAGCTCACCATGGTACACAGACGATATAAAACTGGAAAAAACCAACAGGAGGAAGCTAGAAAAGCAATGGCAAAGAACAGGCTTCGAAATACACCGCCAGATGTACGTTTCACAGAGGAACAAGGTGAATTGTTCCATCAGACAGGCTAAGACCGAGTACCTTAACACTAAGGTGCTGGATGCAGAGGCCAACTCTAAACAGCTCCATCGACTCGTCTCCAAACTGTGTAACAAATCCAGTGATACCAATCTGCCCGAGGACCAATCTCCTCAAGAAGCTGCTGCGAACTTTGCACAATACTTCAGAGAGAAGATCGAGAGAATTCACAGCAAGCTAGTAACTTCGGCTTCAACGCTAGATGACAACACATCCACTCCAGGTGACCAGTGTGACGAGTCAACTTCAGCTACCTCGGGCTATTTTGATGAAATACAACCTTTCTCAACCGATGAAATCGAAAAGATCATTAAGCTTCTGCCAGACAAGAGTTGTGAGCTCGATCCTATACCAACTCAATTTGTGAAATCATGCCTGGAGGTTTTAGTACTTCCAATAACCAACATCATCAATCTCTCAATATCATCAGGCGAGTTCCCTAAAACTTTTAAACAAGCTCTGGTGAGACCCCTTCTGAAGAAAAGTAACCTGGACAATAATACTCTGAACAACTACAGACCTGTATCTAATCTTCCGTTCGTCTCGAAGGTGTTAGAAGGCTGTTTGTACCCGCCTCTCTGAACATCTGAAGAAACACAAGCTGCTTGACAAACATCAATCTGCATATCGACCAAACCATTCCACTGAAACAGCACTCATAAAAGTCACCAATGACATTCTAACAGAAGCAGACAAAGGAAATGTATCAGCACTGGTTCTTCTAGATCTTTCGGCAGCCTTCGACACTATTGACCATCACATGTTGTTGTCAAGAATGGAAAGTGACCTGAAAGTCAGGGGTACTGCTCTTTCATGGTTCCAATCTTACCTATCAGATCGATCTCAAGTGGTTAAGATTGAGAGCAAAACATCATGTCCCACAGATCTCAGGAGTGGCGTCCCACAAGGTTCCGTGCTAGGACCAGTGCTGTTCTCTGTGTACACTACACCACTGGGAAGAATAGCAGACAAGCACAAAGTCAACCAACATCAATATGCAGATGACAATCAAATCTATTCTTCATTCCCTACCACAGAAGCCCTGCCATCGTTGGACACCCTTTCTGATTCCTGCAATGACATTCAGACATGGATGACTAAAAACCTACTGAAACTTAATGAAAGCAAAACAGAATTCCTGCTTATTGGGTCGAAAACAACACTTTCCAAACTTGACAAGCCATCTCTCCAAATAGGGAATACTGCCATAACTCCAACCCGAAGGTCAAGAATCTAGGGTTATTCTCGATGAAAGTCTGAAAATGGACAAGCAGATCTCCAACATCATTAGCACGGCCCATATGCATCTCAGGAACATTGGAAGACTCCGCAACTATCTGAGTGCTGATGCTACTTCAAAACTTGTCCTATCTCTGGTCATGTCCCGAGCAGATTACTGCAACAGCCTCCTCACCAACGTCAACAAAGATCAGCTACGTCGCCTTCAAGCCCTCCAAAACACTGCTGCAAGAATCATTACAAAGTCTAAAGTCTTCGATCACATTACTCCAATTCTAAATGATTTACACTGGCTACCAATCACCGGAAGAATTGACTACAAAACTATTGTAATGACGTACAAGTGTCTCAACGGAATGGCCCCTGACTACCTCGCAGAGTTACTGCCCCTGTATCAGCCCTCACGCTCACTGAGATCACAAAACCAAATGCTAGTGACAGTGCCTAACATCAAAACCAACTTTGGCAAAAGGTCGTTTCGCTTTCAATGCAGCAATGAAATGGAACGCACTACCGCTTGAACTCAAAACCAGCGAGTCACTAACATCTTTTAAGACTGGCCTCAAAACATTTCTTTTCAAGTGTCAATTTCCATCTTAAGCGCACAGAGCATTTATTAGTGAATGATGCGCTATATAAATGCAATTATTATTATTATTATTAAACAGAAACGTCAAGGTACATTTTGCGACTCATGGTCACGAGACGATTAAAGTTTTCTCAAACACAGAGCCCTGGTCTTAAAATGTGTAACCACATAAGGATATGAATAGTTTGCTGAAACGTTGTAAACATATGACACATATGTCTTAAACTGTGTTGAGAAATAAGGATATGAATATTTTGCTGAAAAGTTTGAAACATAGGGCGCATCTGTTTTAATATGTGTTACGAAATGAGGGCATAAACATTTTGCTCAGACGGTTTAAGGGACGGTGGGGTAGTCAAGTGGTTAAGGCGTTCACTCGTCACGTCGAAGACCCGGGTTCGAGTCCCCACATGGGTACAATGTGTGAAGCCCATTTCTGGTATTCCCCCACCGTGATATTGCTGTAATATTGCTAAAAGCGCCATGGAACTAAACTCACTCACTCGAATCCCATCACGGATATGGAGATATTATGACAACTGTCTCACAAAATAGATAAATATTAAATATATATACCATGTGACCTTGAGAAGCGAAATCTTTGCCAAAGTCGTTTCGGTTTCCTCCACCAAGAGCGTTGATGTGACCCACGCCATGCCAGTAGAAGTTGGCCCGACAGGGATGAGGGACCCGTTCGCCATTTGGAAGGCGCTTCCGGTATTCTCCATAACCCGACACAGCACCCGCCCCTAGTAGCAGCAGGAAAATTGTCAGTGCCCTGCGGAAACACGAGTGTGGCATTTTATCGGTAGGCAAAATAAGTATATAGCTTGTAAACAATTAGCCTCTGGTATAGAACCAGTATGTTATTATATTATATTGAAGTAAAAGAGATAAAGGATAGAGGATCGCATCTATCTTTGAGAACGACTTAACGGTTTCAATGATAGTTGTGTTGTACATCACGTAAACCCTGGCGCCCAAACGCTCCATATTCAATAAGATGGGTTCATGAAAATCGGGCACTTCGAGGTTTTCCATCCTTTGTCTGGTATAAAGAGTGCCTTAAAGATACAGATTAAAGTCAACTTTAAATGGCAAAACAGTACATGATTTTTCTAAAAAATGGCAGGCTATATGTCTGGTGATTTGCAGGATGAGAGTCTTATGTCGACTATGGAACCTCTAATGTCAGACTGGTGATGTTGCGAGGAGGAAAGGTCGTGGACGACCTATGAAGACCAAACCTTGACCAAATGATTATACGGTGTGCCTTACAGGATCGCTTTAAACCAGCATCCGAGATAAAGGCTGAGCTCAGGACAGCCACACAAGTACAGGTTTGTGACCGAACAGTACGAAACAGGCTCAAAGCAGCAGGTGTGAAAAGTAACGACCCGTTGTCAGCATTAGAATGACGCAGCAACATCAGCAACGGAGACAGGAATGGGTCCGGTGGCATGGTGTAAGACAGCTACGTCATTGGCGTTACATCATGTTCAGTGATTGTCCAGATTGAATGGACTATGCAGATGTCAGGGTACTGGTTTGGCGACGCCGAAATGAAAGGTATCAGCATAGCACCACCAAACAGCATGACAGATACGGTAGTTGGTCAGGCATGGTATGGGGCGGGATCACCTACAATAACAGAACCGAACTCATTGCTATTGTGGAGCTCATTCGTATTGTGAACGTTTGACAGGAGTGCGATACCGCGATGAAGTCCTCCGTCCTGTGGTAGAACCGTTTGCAAGGAGAACAGGGCGGTGGTTTAAGCTCCAGCAGAAAGCAGAACAATGCTCGTCCCCACACGGTTCAGGTATCAGCTGATTGTCTAAGGAACAGTAACACAGTGTTGCCTTGGCCGGCTCAAAGTCTGGACATAAACCCTATTGGACATTTATGGGATGTGCTAAGTCGAAGGGTTCGTGAGGTTCCGCCACGAAATTTAGATGATCTTTTCAGTGTTTCTAGCACGAGTAACGTGGTATCCCAGTATGCCCAGACGTTGCCAGACAGTTGCGCGAGCACGTGGAGGGGGACATACTCGATACTGACTCCCTTTATTTAAACTGAAAACAATGACTCAAGTCTGTTATGTTAGTCTGTTATGTTAGATGTGATCCCTTATCTTTCTTACATGTGTGTGCCTGAGGACCCCATCCCTCTCTCTCTCTGTGCGTGCGTGCGTGCGTGTGTGCGCAAGGTGTCACTCTCTGTGAACTAAAAGGACAACAGATGAATATCATATTACTGCGTTGCCTGGTCGAACACGACTTGCTACACATGTAAAAAAAAAAACGTTGCGAAATATGTACAGAGCATGGCGAAATACATACGCCGTGAAACATCGCCACGGCGCACCCCTTTCATTTGTCTGTGACGCTTTCACTTGAAGGGTAACAGAAGGCTTTCAAAACTCAGTACAGCCCAACTAAGACGCACTCTAACGTCTCTTTGTAAATCGAGCGATTGCAAACATTAAACCAAGTCAGGGTTGTACTGGTAATGTCAGTTCAAACAAAGTGCCATACCATTGGCTTTAGTATGCTTGTTCATAACTATATACGGAGTCACAGACAGACCTTGATGAACTCAAATAATGTTTGCAAAAGGTGCATGGTGTCTTTGCTCACTTCGTTACTACTATAAGATATTCAAACACTTGACATACAGGGTAGAACAAGCAGTTCATGTGTGGGTCGTATTAGAATTAAGCATTCCTTCAGTTAAATTTGTTTTCTGTTGTTTTTTTAGTTTGGGGTTTGCTGTTTAACGTCGCATCTGCCATTAAATTTACTACTAGTTTGCGTCTTGTAAATGATCAGGTAAACTGGTGGGTGATATAATAAACAAATCGATTCTGACCTCGTAAATCGTTAAGTCGCCTGTTATGGCCAGCACAGATTGCTCAATGATTAAAATGCAATTTGTTTCGGTTGGTTGATGATTTTCGCCACAAAGTCTAGATGTACTCAGCAAAGATGGTTCGGGTGATCCTGGAACTGTCAGGCTTGTTAAGGACTGCATTAGCGCAGGGTCCTTATCCCGCTTACACGCATTCCGGACTGCCTACGGGACTTCTCCCAGGAAATGCCGTTCAGTCCAATCAGACTCCGAAACACAGGGGCTTTCTGCACTGCCAAGAGTGTCAGAGTGTCTGTGTTCCTAGCAACAACACCGTGAACTCTAACAATGTCACTCAACAGATTTGGAGGCAACAAACCTAAGGCACCAAGAGCAATAGGGAGAACGTGCAAAGGTAAGATTTCGAAAGCGAGCTCCGGATACTTTGCCATGTTTGTCCAGAATTTTATTGGTCATAGGCGTCAAAAGGGAGAGAACAAAATCAGTATTATATATAATTTCATTACTTTTATAAAACAAACCTCCTTTCCAAGTTAACTGACGTAAGATGACGTTTAGGATGCATCGAGCCAAACGGGGCGGTGGGGTAGCCTAATGGTTAAAGCGTTGGCTCGTCACGCCGAAGACCCGGGTTCGAATCCCCACACGCCGTGATGTTGCTGGAATATTGCTAAAAGCGGCGTAAAACTAAACCCAGTCAGTCAGTCAGTCGAGCCAACAGGATATGCCAATGTCATTGGAGAATAGATGCAGTCGTGAGTAAGAAGCATAATTTTGTATTCAATGCGCTGTTTGATTGGTAACGAGCGGGGGGATTGCAAGGTTGCAAAGATGTGGTTTGAGCATCTCGGAGGCGTAATGAGTCACGCAGCCTCTCTGAAGTTGAGATAGTAGGGTTGTTGGGATATTGTAGCGGAGATCGTTACAGTGGTCCAGCCATGATGTAGCCAGAGTTTTCAACAAAAGCTTGACAACTGAGCTTTCACTGATGCTGTGAATCTGGACGAAAATGATGCTCTTGGGAGTTGATGTACGTGTTGTTCCATCGACATGTTACTCTTCCGCATAACACCTAGATTTCTGGCCCAGGGTGATGACACATTTCTGACACAGGCAGGGGATGGCACATTTCTGGCACAGGCAGGTGATGGCACATTTCTGGTACAGACAAGTGATGGCACATTTCTGGTACAGGCAGGTGATGACACATTTCTGGCACAGGCAGGTGATGACACATTTCTGGTACAGGAAGGTGATGACACATTTCTGGTACAGGCAGGTGATGGCACATTTCTGACACAGGCAGGTGATGGCACATTTCTGACACAGGCAAGTGATGGCTCATTTCTGGCACAAGCAGGTGATGGCAAATTTCTGACAAAGGGAGGTGCTGACAGTAGTATAAACAATGGGGGTACGGGACCAGCCTATATAAGGCAAGGAATCAATAAGTATACATTCCTAACTCATATTAATTTATAAATCCATAACACAACTACTTTTCATCTCCCCTGTAAAAAGTAGCCACAGTCTTACTAAAAGACTATGTGGTACGGGACCAGCCTATATAAGGCAAGGAATCAATAAGTAACTATTCCTAACTCATATTAATTTATAAATCCATAACACAACTACTTTTCATCTCCCCTGTAAAAAGTAGCCACAGTCTTACTAAAAGACTATGTGGTACGGGACCAGCCCATATAAGGCAAGGAATCAATAAGTATACATTCCTAACTCATATTTATTTATAAACCCATAACACAACTACTTTTTATCTCCCCTGTAAAAAGTATCCATAGTCTTACTCGAAAGAGTAAGACTATGGCTACTTTTACAGTGATGATAAAAAGTAACCATAGTCTTACTCCTCTAAAGAGTAAGACTATGGTGTATGGGGTCATCCTATATAAAAGGCAAGCAATCAATAAGTATCTATTCCTGAATTTGTAAACCCATAAGATCACATCAATTTAAAATATTGACTTCAGCAAAACAATTTAACGTGTATCTTCTATGATGTCTTTGGTTTTCGTAATAAATGCTTGTTGGGCTTGTTGTATCCCTTGGTTTATGTAAAAAAAATTCTCGTTCTCGCCGATAGCAGAACTTTTTTGATAAAACTTTGATTGAATCTCTCTTTCATTTTTTTATATTTTTCAAGTTCACATAGGATCAAACGAAACTCTTCCTCTGAGATTTTATTATCATTGAGTGCGGTGGAAATATGGTCTTCTATCGTGTTTAACTTTGCTTCAGCAAGAATTCTAAATTCATCGTGTTTCTTAGCTTTACGTTTCAATTTGCGAGATACAAATTTAAACACTGACCCAGCTATTCCTGTCACTACAGCTGTTATTTCAAGGCCTAACACCACTGGTGCGGCTACGATGGTGGTCAACAATCCAACTCCTACTGCTCCTAATCCCATGCTAGTTGTCATAAGAGTGGTATCAGCCCAATCCATGTAGTTTAAAGCTCTATTGTATTTTTTGTGTAGCGATGCCGAATATCACGGTCTTGTTCTAGCTGACGTTTTATTTCACATATCTGTTTAAGTCGAAACCCTTCTACACTTCCCTTTATATTTCCTTCTTCATTTATGGCTGGGTATAGCCCCATTTTATGAGTTTATAATATATTTTATAAAAAAAAAATTAATTATATGTCATTTAATTTTTGATTAATATATTTGAGGCTTATAAGGTTTAGATTATTGTACAGGTAAATGGGTGAGACATTAATAGGTATGTTTTCGTCTAAAATACTAACCCCATCTATGCTTATTAATGGTTTATAACCTTGTCTTATATGATTCAGCAACGTTTATTCTCGTGTCTTTTAAACCAAATTATTCTCAGGCCGTCTAAAAGTATTCTTGGACTGGACATCTCTGCGAGATATACG